GAGACAGGCGGGGGTTTCTTCTTAACAAGGGGGGACAGCCACCCAGAAGCACCCTCAGCCCCCACCCCCACCCCGCCAAGGTCCTTTTGTCACCCGTTGGGGACAGACGCCACCTTTTGTCACGGCCTGGCGGCTCCTACCTCGTCCGAAGACGCTGGGATCTTTGCACTCCTTGATGTCAGCCCGGTTGTCGAGGTGAATTTTCACCCGGCCGCTGTGCGCCTTGTTGTCGAACGTGATCTGAGGAGAAAAGGGGGAACGGTTAGGTCCCGAAAAAAAATAATTGGGTGGCAGCTCCTGGCGTGCCCCGCCACCCACCTCTACCCGGTCCCCACCAGGGTTCGTGGTCACCCCGAGGTGGAGAGCGATGCCAACGCACTCACGGTGATGGTGAAGGTGTAGCAGTCGGGGATCTCGTTGTTGATGATGGTTTGGATGTTGATGGCTTTCAGCTTGAACTGAATGGTGACGTTGATGAGTCTGCGGGAAGGGGGACGTTCGTTAACCTTCGTTAATTGTCCGGGGTGCCTCAGCACACTCAACTCCCCCCCCTCCAAAACCTCCAAAACACGGCGCTGAGTCAAACAACCAGCAGAGTGGGGGTAACCCCCTTCCTCAGGGCTCCGTACACCCCCAGGAAAGGGTGTCTCCAACTTCAGAGGAGCAAACCGCTGCCAACATGTGAATTTTGGGTGAATTTTCCTTCGAGGGGGGGGAGGTTTGGACCCTCTGGAAGAAACGGTGCCGCAAGCTACACCCCCATCTCTCAGCCGGCACCGGCAAAGAAGACGGAGCTGATAACGTGCCCCCAACCGCAAGGGATTGGCCATGGGCCATCGGAACGCTGCCAAAAGCCAGCGGAGGGTTTTGGGAAAGGGAAAAAAAAAGAACCAAAAAAAACCCCAAACCAACCCCCGAGGCAGGCATTGCAGAAGTCTCGGTGCCGCCAGAGCCAGAAAGCAGCTGCTTCGTTGTGCAACCTCACCGGTTTCACATCTCCCGCGGCACAAGGAGGTGTGTGTGGGGGTTGTTTCTGTCCCAAGAGTGGTTTTTAAAACCACCAGGGAGGGGGCGGGGGGTGGTTTCCATCCCGGCAGCGGGCTTCAAGGTGAGGAAGTCCCCGCGTTGGTTGGGGTCGTCGTTTCATCCCCTCGCGCCAATGGGATGTCCCCAGCGCCCAAACGTTGGGACAACCCCCCGGGGTTGAGGGGAAGGCGCCGGCAATTTACTTGTGAAATTTGAGGGTGAAGTTCTTGTAGCTGCGGTCAAATTCGGGGGGTAGAGGCTGCGGGTCCTCGGGATCCACTCCCAGGCAGTCTGCAGGGAGGGAAAAGCGCCTTTCAGGGAAGCCCGAGGCCCCGCGCCGACCCCTCGGGACCCACTCAAACCCAAAAACGAGGACGAAAAACCACCCCAGGACCTCGTGCTGGGCTGTGGGACAAACAACCTCAACCCCCACCGTCTCCCCCCCAAAAAAAACCTCACCCGTGACAATCTTGGGGTCAATGTTGAAGGTGTCGTTGGCCGGATCGATGCGTCCTTTCCGGTAATACTGCTGGCACAGCATGAGGGCCGACTGATTCCCTCCGCTCTCCCCCCGCACGTAGGCGTAGCGGCCGATGGTCTCATTGGGAATGGCCAAGTACTGGAGAAAGGAGATGCTCTCAGAGGTTGGATGTGACCCCAAGCCACCTCCACGGTCCCCAAGCCACCTGCGTGGTCCCATCCCTGCCGCCCATGGGGATCTCACCTTCTCCACGGCGTAAAACATGCGGTCGTAGAGGTCGCGTTGCGTGTAGACGGCGTAAGTCTCGTCCGCGCCGTCCACGTAGTCCTTCAGGAAGAGGTGTTTGAAGGCGATGGTGTTCTCCTCCTTGAACGTCACCACCATCTGGTTGCTGAGGCCGAAGAGGATGAGCTGAGGGACAGAAGGACGCCACAATTAAACCCCTTGCCCTGGCAGCTCCATAAACAACGATGCCACGGCCCAAAAAACGCAGCCGGTTCGCCCCAAAATCGGTGGTGAAACGCCATCACCCTACGCTTGGGTGACCCCAAGAAGACAAGGGCCAACAAGCACGTCCCCGAGGTTGTCCCCAACTCCACCTGGGGTGCCCCAAAACCTCTTAAAGCACCTGTTTTCCTCTGGCAAAGCTCCTCTCCCACCCCACACAGGGGGAGGACGATGGCCTTGGGGATGTGTGTCCCCCCACCGGTGTCACCAAACACCCCGGGAACACGATGGCAGAGCAGACCCTGCTCTTCTGTCACCAGCTTTGGACAACCCCGGAGCTGGGAGCTGCTCCCTGCCAAGGTGGGGTGCGGGCAGGGAAAAGGGGGGGGGCAAGGCCCCCAGCACCCCAATTTTCCTCGCCGGGAGGGGGGTGTCACATGCCGGCTGCTTCCTCCGCACCTCGTGACCGCAGCCTGGAAGCTCCCAAGGGATTTTCCCACCCGGCGATGGAGCCTTGTGCCCATCCGGGAGCCGGTGACACCCTGGGGGGGTTTTCCTTTCTGCACCCACCCCCCTCCTTTTTTAGGGCACCCCAGCATCACCCACCTGAGACACCCAGACCCCAAGGATGGGTCACCAGGGTAACCCCAAAAGATGCCCCCCCCGTTCCCTGGGGACCGCTCCTGAGTCCCCCGCTGTCCCCAAGTGTCCCCAAATAGTCACACTTCCCCGTGCCTCAGTGTCCCCCTGCCCATCGCCCCTCAGTGCCACCCTGGTGTCCCTCTCCCCAGGGGTCCTGTGCCCAGTGTCCCCAGGTTCCTCTCCCCAGGGTCATCATGTTCCCAGAACCCCCCAGCGCCTCCCTCTCCAGTGTCCCCAGGTCCCAGGACACCTCCCCAGGGCCAACCTTCCCAGTGTCCCCATGTCCCAGGCCACCCATCCCCAGTGTCCCCATGTCCCAGGACACCCCCAAGGCCACCCCTCCCCGGTGTCCCCATGTCCCAGGCCACCCATCCCCAGTGTCCCCATGTCCCAGGCCACCCATCCCCAGTGTCCCCATGTCCCAGGCCACCCATCCCCAGTGTCCCCATGTCCCAGGCCACCCATCCCCAGTGTCCCCATGTCCCAGGCCACCCATCCCCAGTGTCCCCATGTCCCAGGCCACCCATCCCCAGTGTCCCCATGTCCCAGGCCACCCATCCCCAGTGTCCCCATGTCCCAGGCCACCCATCCCCAGTGTCCCCATGTCCCAGGCCACCCATCCCCAGTGTCCCCATGTCCCAGGCCACCCATCCCCAGTGTCCCCATGTCCCAGGCCACCCATCCCCAGTGTCCCCATGTCCCAGGCCACCCATCCCCAGTGTCCCCATGTCCCAGGCCACCCATCCCCAGTGTCCCCATGTCCCAGGCCACCCATCCCCAGTGTCCCCATGTCCCAGGCCACCCATCCCCAGTGTCCCCATGTCCCAGGCCACCCATCCCCAGTGTCCCCATGTCCCAGGCCACCCATCCCCAGTGTCCCCATGTCCCAGGCCACCCATCCCCAGTGTCCCCATGTCCCAGGCCACCCATCCCCAGTGTCCCCATGTCCCAGGCCACCCATCCCCAGTGTCCCCATGTCCCAGGCCACCCATCCCCAGTGTCCCCATGTCCCAGGCCACCCATCCCCAGTGTCCCCATGTCCCAGGCCACCCCTCCCCGGTGTCCCCATGTCCCAGGCTACCCCTCCCCCGTGTCCCCATGTCCCGGGACACCCCTCTCTGGTGTCCCCAGGTCCCAGGCGTGTCCCCATGTCCCGGGACACCCCTCTCTGGTGTCTCCAGGTCCCAGGCCACCCCCAAGGCCACCCCTCCCCGGTGTCCCCATGTCCCAGGCCTCCCTCCACGGTGTTCCCATGTTCCAGGCCACCCCTCCCCCGTGTCCCCATGTCCTGGGACACCCCTCTCTGGTGTCCCCATGTTCCAGGCCACCCTCCACGGTGTCCCCATGTCCCAGGCCCCCCCT